ATTTCTGAGAACTTGAGAATTCTTCATGTAGTTAATGGAACTTCGGACTTTCTTGGAGTGACTTTAGAGGTAGTATGTATGTCCGGCACCAGTTCTAGAGATAGTAGTGCACTTGCTTGTAGCATATATATATACATATATGCATCATAGCCACTTTTCAAGAAGATTTAATAGTGCTGGTTAAATCTGAGTCAAGGATTGATTACCTTTGTCCATTTACTTAGATTGAGTGTAGGACAGAAGATCATGAAGCTGTGGGTTATAAGTTGGATGCATTATACAAAAACTACAGGGAATATCACAAGTCAGGAGGGTTAAGAAATTGCGTATATAACAAAATAGAATTGCCAAAGCCAAGGTGCTTGTCAATATGCTGTTTTAATAATCAAACAGATATTTAATTTCAAAGGCAGGGACGTGGGCTGCTCGCCGCCTACATGGACCTCAAGAAGGCGTTTGATACGGCGCATCGCGAATCACTCTGGGAGATCCTGAGGCTGAGAGGAATTCCAACAAGGATTGTTGGGCTAATAGCAAACCTGTATACAGGCACTGAAAGTGCTGTAAAGTGTGGTGGGGGCCTGTCGAGCTTCTTTCCTGTTAGTTCAAGCGTGAGGCAAGGCTGTGTTCTTGCACCAACACTTTTCAACACTTGCATGGATTGGATACTGGGTAGAGCTACTGTCCAAAGTCACTGTGGAGCAACTCTGGGCAATATCAAGGTTACCGACCTTGACTTTGCTGATGATGTTGCTATTCTTTCTGAATCTCTGGAAACCCTAGTGGCGGCTCTTGATGCATTTAGCAATGAAGCGAAGCCCCTGGGGCTCGAGGTCTCCAGGACCAAGACCAAGATCCAGGATTTTTGGGGCCTACTAGGAAACCCTGTGCATTCGGTACATGCTTGCTGTGAAAACATCGAAGTCACAAGGAGTTTTATATACCTCGGTAGTGCAGTTCATGACTCTGGGCTGTCAGACCAGGAAGTCAGTAGACGGATTGGCCTGGCAGCAGGGGTCATGAAATCTCTCGACATGAGTATTTGGAGATGCTGGTACCTGTGCAGAAGGACCAAGCTATGAGTTTTCAAGGCCCTGATACTGCCAGTTTTATTATATGATAGTGAAACTTGGACGCTATCTTGTGCTTTGGAATCTCGTCTCGATGCCTTTTGTAACAGATCCTTGCGCCGGATCATGGGGTACAGTTGGTGGGACTATGTGTCCAACCAACAGCTACACCGTGAGACCGGCACAGGACCTGTTACATGCACAATCCGTGATCGCCAACTCAGGCTATATGGCCACTTGGCTCGATTCCCGCAGGATGATCCTGCCCATCAGGCTGTCTCTGTCCGAGACAACCCTGGGTGGAGGAGGCCTGTGGGACGACCGAGAAGGTCGTGGCTTGGGCAGATCGATCAAACCTGTCGTGAGGAGCTAGAGATGGGCCAGGCCCCTGCCTGGTGGCTCGCCATGAGAGACCCTCGCAGGTGGAAGCGAAGGGTGGACGCGGCTATGCGCCCCTACCGGCATTAGCTCCCCCAATGATGATGATGATGCAGGGAATGTCTTTCCAGATTACAGAGGTATCTGTAGACTGCTTTAACATCATGTCTAAAACCATAAGGTATGATATTTACTAATTAGTTAGGGTTTAATGATGCAAATGTATTCTTAGAGGAAAAAGTTTGGTGATAGAGAAATAGGGCAGAAGGTTTAAGCTAGTATTCAGGCAATGAGCAGATCACAAAACCATGTAAAGAAGATAAAAATTGTGCTTAAGAAAAACAAAAGGTACTCAAGGCTTACTTGAAAGACAATAGAAGATAATGCCATCATACAGGTAAGAAGCACAAACCCCAGAAGACTGGTGCACATTTATATGGTGTGGTTTATAGGCATAGAATTCATTAATATATAGGGTCTCTGGTGATTAGTTTAAGGTCTGATGCTACCTTGCAGTCAAGCAAAAGAAAAAGAACAGAAAAGAAAAAGCAGGAAAAACAAGTATGCAAGAAAAAGACAGAAAGAAAAAAAGAAAAAAAAAAAAAAGTTTAAATCAAGATACGCATATGCAACTTCAAATAAAACAGAATTACAAACTTGATTCAGAAAAGATTAAAAAAAGAAAAAAAAAGATAGCAAAGAACAGCAGGCTTTGGCGGAGCCACTAGCTCAACTTTTAAGTAACGTGCGGATTCATTTATATTCCCAAGCTACAACTCTTATCCATCTGTCCTTATCAATCCTACATTTAAATACTTAAGTGCAATTCTGACAACTTCTTGATTTTTTTTTTTTTCTTGTCCTTTGTGTGTACCTTTGCATCCTCGTCTGTAATTGCCTTAGGAGGAAACTTTGACATTGACATAATCTGCATTTCTTTTGAGAGTTAAAGTTCTCAAAGGAGAGCAACGAGCCATATAAGCTATAATATGCAATCTAAGAACATGCTTGAGTCATGATATACAGTGTTGTTCTCCTTATTTTTGCTAGTACGATCAAATAAAAAACTAAGACTTCTTCTAACAAATCCAAATCAAGTAAAATGTTACTGTATATGATATTCCTCCACAAACATGAAAAAAAGGAAAAAATGTAAAAAGAGCTTGGTATTTTTGAGTTTAGAATTATAGATGATATTAAGTACTATGAAAAGGCCATGACCTGATGTTTTGGGGGGAAGTTATAACATCACAATCGCACTATCACTATCAACATATTATAGCTGTTATTATAACAGTTACTAATGCATTACAATATAACAATGACTACTTTCCTTAATGGATCAGTCATCATTATTTCTGCCACTATCATTTTCATCGCCTTCATCATACCAATGTAATTATTGTTATTAAGCAATAACAGTAACAATAATTATCATTATACACAATATCATAACACTCATGCTTATCATAATCACTATCATTTCTACTCTCACATCATCATCATTATGATTACAGTCATCATTATAAGATGATAATTGTTCATTTCTCATATTGTTATAACAGTGATGTTAATAACACTAATATTAGCAATGAAACTAATTCAAGCTGGTAATAATCATTATAATTAAAGATAAAAATAACATTACTATTATGATATTTTCAGGATATCACCATCCGTATCATTATCTGAATGGGAAAATAAGGAGTATGTATCTCACTTCACAGAAATTTTTACAAAAGTAAACACTATTATCATAACTCTGCGCCTCTAGTAATTCGGAATTGTTAAGGTGTACTATAAATAATGTATAACAGGAATTGAATGCTGAAAAATATGGGATTAAAAAATGTATTGCTTTAGATGAAACGTGCATTCTCAACATTTCCATGGCTGACACAGTCTCTCTCTTGTTTCTTCTTCCTTTTTTTATCTGTTTTGTCAAGTATTAATATATCCCTCTCTGATTTCCAATAAAATTGTATGTCATAGATCCCATCCTTATGTCTTCCCATAGCTATTGTATTATCTGCCTAGTATTCCTATTTATATGAATAAAATCATTAAAATGCAAGTGGCCTACCATACATGATATCTTCTACAGTCTCACTCAAGATCTTGTAGGAATAAATATGTCAGTAAAACAAAGATGAATGCTAAAAAGAAATACATTCAGCAGCTGAAAACGAGGTGTAACTTGGATTCATTATATATCAGCTGTTTGTGAATGTTAACCTGGTAAATATTTCTGGTCAGAATTGAAGATTGATAATTAGTGATTAATCTCATGGAATTACTATGGGAGTAACTGATACTCTGAAGGAAACTGTGTCTTCACATGAACACAAACACACATACACACCCCACACACACGTATATGTTTTACTTTACCTCTGTAATCTAATTTACTTATTTGCATAATCATTATATGCATATGGCCAATATAACAGCACTTGGATGTTTTATCCATTTTATTCAATAAATGATGCTTAAGTTTTCCATAATTTGTATGATATCTAATAGCCAGTTTACCCCATAATGTTATGAATAAAAAGAAACAAATATCCAAGCCTAGGATTCATAACAACAAAACTTAAAATATAATGAACTGCAATTCCCCTTGATTGTCAATGGGTCTGAGCCATTGTTCCAGCTTAATCCCTGGGTCTACTGTGCACTGTAGCCTTTTGCAAGTATTGTTACACACAGATGGCTCCACAAGCGTTCAGCCACCAAAGAGTTCAGAAAGAAGGCCCTAATTACGCACCAGATTTCCCCGTTCCTTGAATTTGTGGGAATTTTTTTTTTCCAATTCTATTAATATTGTTACTGTTATTATTATTGACATTATGATTAAAGTACTACTACTACTACCACTAAAAAGAAAAAGAAAAAGAAAATGTGTATATATATATATAAATATATATATATATATATATATATATATATATATATATATATATATATATATATATATATATATATATATATATATAATATATATATATATATATATTATATATATATATATAATATATATATATATAATATATATATATATAATATATATATATATAATATATATATATATATATATTATATATATATATATTATATATATATATATTATATATATATATATTATATATATATATATTATATATATATATATTATATATATATATATTATATATATATATATATTATATATATATATATATAATATATATATATATAATATATATATATATAATATATATATATATATATATATAATATATATATATATAATATATATATATATAATATATATATATATATATATATATAATATATATATATATATTATATATATATATATTATATATATATATATATATATAATATATATATATATATTATATATATATATATAATATATATATATATAATATGAATATGAATAATCAGTAAAAAATATTCACATTTCCATGCAAATAAAGAGAGATTGTACTAACATACAACTGCACCATTTAGGGATGAAACCTTGCTTTTTGTACCTTCATATAACATTATAACTATACCATCACAAATGCATGTGAACACATCTGTAAAGCAATGTACAAACTAGTATCATAAACACACACAAGTTTTATCCTAAATTTACATAACTTTAAATACTAAAGTAAGGAAGCTCATGTGGTTGCCAGGGAAGATAAAAGGAAAATTCAAATAGAGGATTACCAAGGACTTCTCTATTTTAATGGTAAAAATCACACAAGTAGTAAATGACAGAGGATAATTTTTAATGCATTAAATTAATAATTATAGTTAATCCAAGATCGTGGGACAGGATCTGCATATAGTAAGAGGCAAAATAAACAATCTTAGGGTCTATACCTTTGATTTCTGTTCCTCCTGCTCCAATAATAGAGGCAAACGCTGCAAAAGGGGCAGCGGGTGATTTCGCAATTATAAGCTGAAAATAAAAAAGAACGTCAAAAGTGTGTCCATGAGTTCTTTTACAATCAAGAGTACGGAAGCTGAAGATAATAAATACAAGACAAAAGTATGTCTATGTGTCCCTTCACAAACAAGATTACGGACGGCCCATAACATTCATGGTTACATTCCTGTCCAGCAACTTTTGACTTATCATAATTCAAAATCTTCATATAAAATTTTGCCTAAACTTACACTTTATCTGATTCATGAGTAAAAAATCTTGGAAATGTGAAAGGCAGATAGTATCTATATATGCATCTTTAGTATGAGTATTTACTGAGCAAATATTTCAAATTTTATAAGATATGGATTCTTTACTATACATAGCAGAGATGATTAATATCAGCATCCAGAGTAACTGACAGATCTAAATATTTCATAACTACATGCTGCTGCTAAAAGATGTTCCACATTATATACTTTCTGTTGCACTGTTTGGCTCTTTGTACATGAATGTATTTTTTTCTTATTTTTACTTTTTAAACTACATTTACTATTAGTTTATCTGGCATTTATTCAAGTCCACATATTAAAGATAAATTACACTATCATGAATAACCTCGCTGCAACAAATATCTGAACATCACTTCTTTTAATCAGATACTAACTAAAGTTATGTATGTTATCCTTAATATATTTCACTTAAAGTTACCTCACCTGAGAAACAGAAGTCTCAGCCTCACCTTCATTTCCTTCTCCTGTGATCTCGGGCTCTTTGTCCAAGAACCTACTGGTCACCTGATTTGTAACAACAACCTGTAAGACAAAGAAACAGGATAGAGTTGCTTGCTTACTTAGAATGTAATTTGTTTGTTTGTTTTGATAATTGCACATCATTACATCCTTATTTGTATTTAGAAATAACACAAGAAATAATTTCCTAACCTACCTTCTTCTAAATGAATATCAACTTTACCAAACACAATATTTCAATGGCTTCCTGGGAAACTGAATAATACATAAAAGGAGTTTTAATAGGTAATATGGAGATGTAAGTGTAAGTATGATGGTATGGCTGCCAGTGCTGGGGTTCAGGTTGTGTCATCACGGTAATATTGGTGTTATGGGGGTGCCATCAAGGGAAAATGAATACAGACCAAATGTGTAGATGTGTGTGTAGCAGATGGGCACATTCAATTGGAACTGACAACTTCCATCATGATCCTTACCCAATCTTGCCGGAGATGGCATGTGTGTTTGTGTCATGCCCACTGTGAGCTTAGTTGATTAATTGCTTTTACCCCTACAGTAGATGGCTCCACAAGTATTTAGTCACCAAGGAGTCAATTACTAGTCCTACCTATCTCCATTGTATATCTTTTTCCATGACCTTCAAAAATATTCTTATATATTATACTGCTATTAATATTTTCATCAACAATATAATGATCTTAATATCTATAATACTAATAACAAAATCAATACAGATTGTTAAAAAATAAAAAATTGAAAAAATCCTGAAAACTTAAGGAAAGGTCTACCGACTCCTTGGTGGCTGAGCACTTGTGGAGCCATCTATGTCTAGAGACATTTTAGAAAGGAAAACCATAGTGTACACTACATTTTCCTGGCAGCACTGGATTAAGGTCCTTGACATGAAAGTTCAATGAGTTCCTGGGAAATTATTCTGTCATCATATGTTAGGACATTATTTGTCAATAGGTCTTAAAAGCCATTTTCAATTAAATTTATTCAGGTCAGCATTATAATTTCTAATAATGACCTTCACCCAACCTAAGAATATGCTATCCTAAAGCACCAAAAAGGGATATTTTAACAAAAAAAAAAAAAAAATCCTGAAAACTTAAGGAAAGGTCTACTGACTCCTTGGTGGCTGAGCACTTGTGGAGCCATCTATGTCTAGAGACATTTCAGAAAAAAAAAACCATAGTGTACACTACATTTTCCTAGCAGCACTGGATTAAGTTCCTTGACATGAAAGTTCAATGAGTTCCTGGGAAATTATTCTGTCATCATATGTTAGAACATTATTTGTCAATCGGTCTTGAAAACCATTTTCAATTAAATTTATTCAGGTCAGCATTATAATTTCTAATAATGACCTTCACCCAACCTAAGAATATGCTATCCTAAAGCACCAAAAAGGGATATTTTTACAATTATCATACCATATGTTAGCAACCAAATGACACAAAAAAATCAGAAACAGGAAAAGAAACCCCAAAGAAAAGGGAAAAATAAAGCAATAGTAACAAGGTTTCCACAAAACTTACACATGTTGAGGTGCTGTGCAAGTGACTTGAGTGTCGCAACTCAAGACAACAACTGGTTGACCTGAGTTACGTTTGCCTGGGACAACCCCGCCAACATCTCCCTATGAGCCAGGGATGCTATGGGGTCCACAATCAACAGCCCAGCTTCCTTTTCCTCTACTGTAACCTCTAAGGTTTCTAATCTGTAATTTCATGCAAGAGAAGTAGATCATTTAAGTACCTATTTATTCATGGATTATCAATGAGTGTGTTCTTGGTGTACTGCTAAGGATGCATTATGAAGTTTTCCTAAATAAAGAATATACTTTTTTTCCTAAAAGTAAATGTGATAGATGTAAGAAATAAGAAAAATGAACCATAATCCTAAAATGAATAATCATTTGAAAAAAAAATATATATTCAACAGTGTCTCCAGCTAATACTGGACTATTACAAGATTACAAAAAATCTAATATTTATGAACATTACAATACATTCTGAAATATCCTCAAGCAGCTCTGAAATGCAATACAGAATACACTTTAACATCAGCTAACTTACAATCCACAAGCTCTGTCACTTGCCATTAATTAGTGATATTTTATACACAATAGAGATTTCAGCCTACAGTATGAAAAATAAAAACAATAATAATAATAATAATAATAATAATAATAATAATAATAATAATAATGACACTGTGTGGTGCAATGGTAGCAATCTCATCTAGCAATCTTGCAATCCTGCGTTCAAATCCCTAGTCCCAGTGGATGGCAACCCCGGCCATTCCTTGCACATGGGATAACTTAGAAGCAAAATGAAACAGACACTATGTCACACCAAGAATATCCATTGTAGCAAATGGAATCAAACTAAACCTATTTAAATAATAAGTACATTCATTGGAAAATCTGACTGAAAGAGCTAAAGAGTTGTAAAGATACAGAATCCATTACCATATGACTGCTAGTACATTATTCAGAGGGCAAACAATCCTAATTCATAGTTGTGCTTACTGTTATCAAAATAATTACATTTGTGACAAGTTGCTGATTGTAGATGGCTGGTAGAGGCAGATCTTGGATAAACATTCTGAGAGTCTTGGCTCGGATTTAGGCTATCTCTTGCATATTATCTCAACAATAATAATAATAATGACACTGTGTGGTGCAATGGTAGCAATCTCATCTAGCAATCTTGCAATCCTGCGTTCGAATCCCTAGTCCCAGTGGATGGCAACCCCGGCCATTCCTTGCACATGGGATAACTTAGAAGCAAAATGAAACAGACACTATGTCACACCAAGAATATCCATTGTAGCAAATGGAATCAAACTAAACCTATTTAAATAATAAGTACATTCATTGGAAAATCTGACTGAAAGAGCTAAAGAGTTGTAAAGATACAGAATCCATTACCATATGACTGCTAGTACATTATTCAGAGGGCAAACAATCCTAATTCATAAGTTGTGCTTACTGTTATCAAAATAATTACATTTGTGACAAGTTGCTGATTGTAGATGGCTGGTAGAGGCAGATCTTGGATAAACATTCTGAGAGTCTTGGCTCGGATTTAGGCTATCTCTTGCATATTATCTCAACAATTCTGGGGGAGGGAAGGGAAGATATAAACATGGAAATGTTATTCATATACTTTCACCTAAAGAAATATATATGAATAAAAAATATATAATTATTTTTACATATACTTTTTTCTGGAAAAAGGTTTATTACAGTATGCAAATACTGTAATTATTTAAAACAAAATAAGAAACCTGATATAGCTACAGGAGCTCTCCTACTCAAGTAATGAACTTTGAGAAATACATGAAAACCTATCTGTAATTTTAAAATTTAAACACAGTAATCAAACTGACAAATGTAATTTAAATCCCATTGGCTTGACGTGGTGCCACTGTCATGTGTAGTTATTTGTGGTTATTACAGATACTTAATCACCTTAACAAGTCTATGAAACATTACATTGGAACCTGTAGTTATGAAAACTATTAGCAGTTACAATTATATTTCCTAAGACTTTTGTATGATGCTGCACTATTTATGTAATGATAATGCAAAGAATATATAACATTATTATTTTCAAAAAAACACAGAAACATGAGTAATGTCAGACTAACAAACTTCTGGACACTCAAACAACCACAGGACCCTATCTTTATCATAAGACATCTTATGTGGCACATAAAGTAACAATAATGCTAAGAATAAATAATATTATCATTTTCAAAAAATAATTTCCCATAAACTTACCTCTCAGCCCTAAATGCTGTCTCTGTGTCGATACATATAACTGAGGTATTCCAACCAATGCTTTCACCTGACAGCACTGCCCGAACAGCTGTGTGAAGGCACCATTGAGTTTTACCCACTCCTGCTGGACCTGTGGATGAAGATATCCTCCTTTAATATCTGCAAAGTGCTTCCTTTTATAAGGTAATAAAATGTATCGGTTTGATTAAAGGAAATAAAGTAAGCCAAATAATTTCACAGTAATTATTTATGTGTTATTACTGTCATTATCATTACTACTGTATTCATCCATACTGAAATTATCAAGCAGTGGTATTTTCCTCATTACTTTAGCATCAACAGTCAAACAATTGAAAGGGTTAACATACATGCAAATTCAATCACAGTGCAAGCATGAAGACCACCATGCAACATTGCAAGTTGGTTACTTCCTAAAGATAGTGAGAACTTTTCTTCTTCTTGGCTCAGGGTAAAGGCCTAAATATGAATAAATAATATATATATTAATGTATATATCAATGAATAGACTAATAAAAAGAATAAATGTCAATCATTTTGTTGAGCAATACATGACTTAAATTGATCAAATTATTTTACACTGTACTGAAACTTGACTGAAAGATGGTGATAATGTATATAGATATAAATGTTAGAGCTAATTTTTGTAAATTATTTAATTCATAATAAAAAATTGTTAATCACTTTATTAAAATAACCAGAAAGCAATAATGCTAAGAATAAATACAGCATCTCACCGACTGGTACTTTGGGAAACATAATGCATACAGCCGATCCAAAAGAGTTTCACATTCTTCAAAACTTAACTGGAGTGTGGACATAATCTGCAGTGGCAACAAAGAAAGCACATCCTGGAAATCATAAATATAAAATTAACACCATTTTTTTCTTTTTATTTTATAACAAAGACCATTTTAAACCTGCCACCTGGGTAATTATATGAAAATAATATATGACTTTCACTGACTGCAGTTTTGACATACCCTAATCTGACTTTCAGGGATGACATATGTTTTTTACATAAGAACACACGCACATTTCCATTTTTTTTTTTCCAAAATTCATGGTTAAATGCCAAAATATAAGTATGAAAATCATTATTTAACTACACAAATTCATACTATTATCATTCACATATGTAACCAAATTATTAAGCAATAATGATATTTCAAACAATCTGTCATATGCCTACTAATATAAAACTACAAAAGAGTAATTCTAGAGTAAACCATACATAAAGAGTAATTCTAGAGTAAACCATACATAGCTGATAATAACAAACTCATAACCAATGGAAAGCATTTCAAATCTGCCTCAATATACCAGTTTTAGTCCATGTGCTTTAGTGTATATTCTAGCAAAGATAGAGCTTGTAAACTTTCTTAGCAATTTATCACTAAGTCTTACCAAAATATAGGTGGTGAAAGTTTATTGGATTTGCATGAGAGCTTATGGTGTGAATGCCACAATAATCACTTGATGGCATGCCACTCTGATTATAATCCCATTATTGATTGAAACCCTCTAGAAGTGTGCCTTAATTTCATGCACATATCCTGCCCTCTGCAATATCACTGCCACAATCAACTAACAGGCATGCAACCTGAGGGACCTCAGTGCTCACATTGGCCAACCTGCCTTCAGCACTAAGGCAAACTTCTACCATGTATATTCAGGCATGATAGAGCTTGTAGATCTCCCTGACAATGAAGTACAGAATAAGGAATCAACCAATCCAAACTGTATCCCTCCAATCTGCATATGGTGGTTTGTTAGCCTTTGCCAGAGCACAGCCTCTGTCTGGTGGGACTGCACTGTAGTTTTTTTCGAAGTTTTTCTTTTCTCTCGCATATTTTGCATAACTTTGTTACTATCATGCAAAATTTTCAGCATAGTTTTAGTTTCCCACAGCCATGCAGTACAAGGTAAAATTTACCGTTAATGGAAAGTGTAGCTGAAAATAAGACACTATGGTATTACCTTAGCAAGTTGATAATAAAAGTTGTGCAGCATGTAATACTTTTGTATACATTTACAGGAAAATGCAATGGCACTGTAATAACATAAGAGAAAATGCACTCACAAATACATGATTTTGGTTCATGCAGCGATGTCTGTGAATTTAGCAGGGATGGTAGGAGTAAAAGGGCTTAATCTCAGAGGGCTAAGGTCACTTCATTACCATTACCAATACTTTATTTAGATCATTTGCAATAGAAAATAACGAGATTCATGCATATTAAAGCATGGATTATTGAAAGAAGGAATAAAAGATGGAAGATTGGATGGCTGTGTGAAAGCAAAAAATATCCATTAATCTAATTGGGAAAACACAATCGTGATGAAACAACCCCCTGAAGCCACTGCCGCGTCTCCTAATCATTACCAAACAAGTTTTACCTTGATAGTTTTCAAATGACGAATTGCCAGTTCTTGGTCTTGTCAGTCTGGCAAGTCTGCGGATTGACATCTTCTTTCTAAAAAACGAATTAGGCAACAAAATCCATGTTTCCTTCTTCCTGACCAATGACAATGTGTTATCTAATTTGATAGAAATTAACTTTTTGGTTTAAACTTTAGGATTTTTTTCTTTTTTGCTTTTTTTAAAGATTTCCCAATCATCGAGAGGGATGGGTTTGGCTATAGATACGTTACCCATAAGTGGGGTTGTATATCAAAAAGTAAAGTTAGTGTCTATAGCAGAATAATTGCAGTTACATGTTACATGCATGCTCTCTCTGAGATTTCCCAATTGCACAATTGTATAAGGACTTGTATTGCAGAAAGGGAGTCAGTATAGACTGTAATGGCAGAGGCATCCATTGCAAGGGAAAATTCAAATGCCTTGTGTATTGCGAAGTTCTGTTTGTAAGGTGGAGCAGTTGTCAGAAAGTCTCCTGCTGTGAAGCGAGTGCAGGGACCGCAGCTCCTGAGCGCCCACGGCTTCCGTCAACAGGCCCGTTCGGAAAGAAGATTAAACTTTAGCGCGAAACGGATAAAAATGTAAACAAAAGTATTGCGGACAAAAAAGGAACGATTCTTTGCCGATTTTTTTTCGGATATCCTTAGAATGTGGGGGAAGCGTATATATATATATATATATATATATATATATATATATATATATATATATATATATATATATATATTATATATATATATATATTATATATATATATATATATAAATATATATATATATATATATATATATATATATATATATATATATATGTATTTATACACACACACACACACACACACACACACACACACACACACACACACACACACACACACACACACACACACACACGCACGCACACACACACACACATACACACACACACACACACACACACACACACACACACACACACACACATATATATACATATATATATATATATATATATATATATATATATATATATATATATACATATATAAATATATATATATATACATATATAAATATATATATATATATATATATATATATATATATATATATATATATATATATATATATATATATATATATATATATATATATATATATATATATATATATATATATATATAAGAGAAAGAGAGAGAGAGAGAGAGAGAGAGAGAGAGAGAGAGAGAGAGAGAGAGAGAGAGAGAAATATAGATGCCTCCCTCCCTTCCCTTCCTTCCCTTCCGTGTATTTGTGTGTGTTTCCTGTGAACGAAACGCTGGGAAACTTCACATCCGATTTCTTCACAGAACTCGATTTATGCCGAGGCTATTGGCAAATTTCCTCGGGCCAACGATCTAAGCCGTATGCTGCTTTTGCAACCAAGTATGGTTTACTGAAATTTACGAGTTTACCTTTCGGGTTGAAAGCCACGTGCACTACATTCGTGCGATTAATGAAGGTAAATAAAGGTCTAAATAACTTGTTAAATAACTTATTAAATTGTTATTTCGATAATATTGTTGTTCACAATTCTAATTGGGAAGATCATTTAGTCGGCCGTAATAACCTGCTTAATAGGCTCCGTTTAGACGGACTAACTGCAGGCCCTGATAAATGCTTCTTTGGCTACGCTGAAATTAAGTAGCTGGGTGATTATTGTTTAAGACCTGTTGATACTAAAGTTGAAGCTATAATTAATAGGTCTCTTCCAAATACAAGAAAAAAAAACTAAGATCATTCTTGGATACGGCCTCATTCTATCGTAAATTTATCCCTATGTGGATATAGTATCTCCCATCGTTTTGCTGAGGAAATTCAGTAGCAGTGTACTAATATGGAATGGTGAACAGATTGCAAGGGTTAATTTATTGAAGGAAAAACTAATTAACGTCCCAATTCTCGCGTTGCCCGATCACAACAAGCACTTTTTCTTGCGAACTGATGCTTATGACATGAGCTTGGGTGCAATCCTTCTGCAGGAAAAACGGGGAATCAAGGCCTGTCGCCTATTGCCAGCCGCGAGACGCGTTACGCAGTTACAGAACGCGAAAGCCTCGTTATAGTTTGGGGAATAGAGAGGTTTAAGTGTTACTCGTACGGGAAAGAATTCATTCTACAAACAGACCAACAGCCATTAACATATTTACGGAATATGAAGAATAGTAATGACAGAATTATGCGCTGGTCTCTCGCCTTGCAGGCATATTGTTTCATAATTTAATACATAAAAGATGTTGATAATGTAGGTGCTGATTTTCTTAGTCGATGTCCGGTAATTATCGATTGATATTAAAACCCAGCTTGATTAAAATCTTATGATTTGAAGCTAAATTGGCGGGCCATATAAAGGGTTATTTGGCGGCGATGGTTCCACATCAAGCGATGCTTCCAGCCGCCGGCTTATTTGGTTGCTTGTTGGTTGCGCTTGGGCTCGCCTGTGCGTGTGGAAGGATCCTCTCGACGGACCACATGTGAGGACACCGACTTGTACAATCGTTGTATATTGTGGCTACACTGATTTGATAAAATGCATTGCCAATGCATGTCACAATATCTGTGGAAGGGACAAAGTACCCACTGTAATGAACTTCGCTTTCGTCATCCTTTTATGTAGCTCAGGAG